ATATATATATATATATATATATATATATATATATATATATATATATACGCTTGTCAACTCTTCTCAACGACCAGGCCTATACCATGTCAGATCTACATACAGCCACTCTAAGACTTTCGCCAGACATACAAAACAAACGCAAAACAAACGAGCAAAACGAACGAGCAAAAAAACATGCAAAACAAACGAGCACCTTCCAATCTACGGACCAGATCAATGAAAGCCTTTCAGTGACATCGTCATCGAAAGTAACTTTTATTGCAGCAAACCGTGTGGCATGCTACGCACACTGTAATCCCTTCAGTACTTGGTTGTAACAATAATATTAATATTGGAACGAAACATGAAGGAAAAGAATCAGTTCAGTTGTCCATTCATCCGCAAATCGTATAATTACTCCAAAAGAGTGATAATAAAATTAATGAATAAGTAATAAAATTAACATATTGCTGACAATTCCCTTTATGAAGCAGTAATAAAGAGACAACCTTTCTAGCAAATTCCGTCATTATTTACTATTCTTCATGCAAACTGGCAGCCATACGATCGGATGGCGGACATTGTCAGATTGGAATCAGGTGAAAAAGTCGACCAGTGGACCATTGTTGGAAAACTCGGCGAGGGTGGTTTCGGATCAGTTTATAAGGTTGTTACGAAGATTCATCGTCGATATTTGATTCGATAACATTCTTTCTTCAATCCACATCTTTCATATTTGCGATTTTTTTTTTACTTTAGAATTTTCTTTTTTTTTTCTTGCAGGTGTCAAGGGGAAACGAGATTTATGCTCTGAAAACAGAAAGCTTAAAGGAGAAAGTTAAGGTACATTCGTTAGCTTTAAAAAAAGATATGATAGGTTTTAGTGACATTTACTTGCCGATATGTCGAAGGAGTTGTATTGTATTTCTAAGCTTCTAGCATAACATCACGTTTAGATTATATTTGAGATACTCAATTCATTTCTTGTCCACTTCTTCCGGGTCACTATCCCATTATTCCTGACCACAGGTAGTATTTTGACCTCTCTCTTTTGGTTGTATGAATGATTGTAGTTGCTGAAAATGGAAGTTTATGTGCTTAAATTAGCGAATGAACGAAAAAGTAAGCATTTCTGTATTTGCGAAGACACAGGCATTTATAAAAAGTGCTTATATTTGGTGATGACACTCCTTGGGCCTTGTTTGCAGGTAAATTTATAGAGTTAACTTAGAAGAGATAACTTTTTCCCATTAATGATATCGATGATAACAACAATGATAAAACTTGACTACGACCTTTCACTGGCTGTCATTTGAAAACTACTCAATGCTCTTAGACTACTGATGGCTACCTTAGACTGGATTTATAATTTTAAAGCCAGTTAACTAGACAACTTACTGGCAACTCCAACTCATATTAATTAATCGATCTATTAATTGCCCTAGCTCAACTTATATTAATTAATCGTAATAAAAAAAAATATTCTTAACGGGAAGGGAATCTTTGATATTTCTAACTCATCCGGTAACTTCTTCGTATTTGATATCTGACATCACTATTTGGAGGATGTAAGGAAAGAGTTACCTGGACAAAAATTTTCCATGGGCTGTGCGTTGTCCGTTGGAATTCAGTGTTTAGAAGCAATCGAAGAACTTCACGCTATTGGATTTTTGCATCGGTCTTCTGCTTCGCATTTCCGGAAAAGCTTAAAGCTTAACTGTTGAAATTAATTCAATTCTAAAATTAGTTTCATTATATAGCAAATACTTTAGGATTTGTTTTCATAGCCTTATTTCCTCTCTTGGAGGCAGTTGTTCAATTTATTTGTTTTTTTACCTGGACGGGTATTTTATGAACAAATTGTTAAAAAGGGATAAGTGGTTACTGATATTTATCGTTATCATTATCACATAAAAAACGTTAGCTTTTCCCATCACTTTGATGTTCTGATAAAAACCAATAATGATACAAACAATATTTTAGTGATATTAAACCAAGTAATTACGCAACGGGTCGAGGAAAACTCGATGAATTACGACGAATTTACATACTAGATTTTGGAATGTGCCGAAGCTATCTGGATGAACATGGACGATTTCGACCTCCGAGAAAGGTTCGCGGAAAACTTTGATGTATGAACACCGTTCAATTAATTCGGGATTTAACGCCACTGAAGATTAGTTTCTTTTATTCGCTAAAATTTCATGCTATTTTATCAGGCATAGATTTTATGATAAGACAATAAGCGAAGAAATGCTTGTAGAAGAAATAAAGGCATTAGTACTCATAATTCCAAATACAAACAATTTTTTTAATCGACATTAAGCGGAGTCTTCTTTAATAATTATAAACTCTTAGAATGTAAAATATATAAATATGTTGCAAAAATGAAGAAATTAGAACGGTGGAAGACCATATTTGTTGTCACTCTGTCAAATCGATAGCCTTAGTGACTGAGTTTAATTTTCCAAAAACGCGACCTTCTCACTCGACTTGTAAGAAATTTAATTTACTTAAGGATATGACTAACAATATTCCCAATTAATTTGCCTTTCTACTTCATCATATTAAATTAGCCAAGACACAATATTCCAAAACTTTTTGACATCATTTCACGCATTTCAATTTCCATCCGAATTACTACAAATGATGATATCCGTTGTAGCCGACGCATGAGAGGTAATGGTAAATATAAGGAAGTGAAGCGTTGTGCATTTAAGATGATAATGATTTGCATAATCAGATGATTTATCCAAGGAACTTTCGAACAAAGCTGTTGACTGTCCACTCATATGCATAGCTGAAAATGCGACACATTCAATTATGGGTGGACAAGGGAAAACAATATTATTGCATGCCTATGCACTTCCAATTCCTGATTTGGTCAATGGAAAACGTATAAATTTGAATTATGCAGGTAGCTGGATTCCGAGGTACGGTTCGGTACGCGTCATTATCGTGTCATATACGACGTGAAACATGTCGCAAGGATGATATTGAATCTTGGTTGTATCAGCAAATCGAAGTTACACGTGGTGCACTTCCGTGGCGTTCATTAGACGATAAGAAGGATGAAGTAGCGATGTTTAAAGTATATACTCACGGGAATTTATGCGATCCAAAATATAAACCAAAATAAGAAAGGAGCTTCGGTGGTTTTCGCATCGCCGAAATATATCCAAAACTAGTGGCTAATTTTTGAAATGGACACTAGGTTCTCCAAAATCTAGAAATTGAATTCCTGTTGAAATTTGTACTTCTTCTCTGGTGGGTGACTTCGCGTATAATGTTGATGAGATATAAAGCATAAACAGATCAAAGAATGAAGGGTTTTACGATTTTGTTTTTTGTTATTTACTCATCCAATGCCTTTCACGATGGAGCACTACTAAAGTTCTTACATAAGCACCGTGTGGAACTTTCTGGCTAGCTTCATTTTTTTATCTAATCACAGTATCAATTACTGAATGTTGTCAACATGCTAATGTTTCATACCCTAGGAGCGATGCCGTTTTGAAGTGGGTCTGCAGGAGCTTATGGGTGGTTGTCCGCGAGAGTATGTCGAAATCTTGCGTTACATTGACAGCTTACGATTTTACGATAATCCAAATTATGAAAAAATTTACAAGGTTGGTCTATTTATGTAAGAATGAATCAATTCAAGAACGTTAGTTTTGAATTTCTTGTTTGGACAAAAGATAATTTTAGAAATGTCTCTATAGCAGGATATAAGAGACATTGAAGTAGAGAAAGTAACTCCATCAAATTTTAAGTCAAATTCAAAAAAACAAAGTAGATTACATCCCACTGGAAAGCTGTTTTATCAGATTAATTTTATTGAAAATTCTTTTAGCTAATGAGGAAAGCAATGTCGGAACTGCAGGTACAAGAATTTCCTTATGACTGGGAACAATCACTTAATCAGCCGATCCGGTAAAGCGCAAACTTGCTGTGAGAAATTTTTCGAATGAAATTTCGATTGGAAAATCTCTACCATGATAATGTGCAGATGTTTTTTCTCATGAATTTTGCATTCAGCAAAAAAAATTTCGGTATTCATAAGTGGCATATATACTTAGCATCGGGAAATTTGATGGTGAAGTGATTGGAATTTGTGATAACAATAATGGTTTTGCATTGTTTGGAAATGAATAACTATTGTTTAGCGACTTCCACAACATTCGATTGTTGACAGCTTTCGTTTGTAAGGAAAATGTCATGATTTATTCCTGACAGGGAAATTTCATCAGTTTGGAAATTTCGATAGTAAAAATTATAAATTTTCTTCTGTTAGTTCACATTAGTAAAGCATTTAAAGAGGTAGAATATAAAGAATGTCGATCTTTTGAGAGCCAGCTTATCCCTTCCGAAGGTGCTGCAATAATGAATCTATTTGTTGTCACATTCCTTCATGTTGACTTAGATTTTGCTGTAACCTTGAAGGCTTCTTTTAACTCAGCAAATATCTTCGAGTCTGAATACATACATTAGTGATCTGCGTGATATATGAATATTTGTAGGAGAATACAGTTTAAGATAAGTAGGATTGAAATGTTTACTGCGCAGTACTACAATTTTCAACTTTGGGAATCTACTAACAGATCTCCTCATTACATTTACATCGCACAGCAAAGCAAACACCGCTGAATATTTGGAATAGGTTTTCAATTACTGTATTAATCTTAAAATTAATTTTAGATTTTGAAATTATAGAAAATTTTTGGTCTCATTATCGAGGAAGAACGCTATAGCTCCGAAATTATAGAAATAGAGTGGGTGAAGAGATCTTCAGGTGTATTCAACATCACATTTATTATCTTTCCGGATTTGATTTGATTTTTCCTTCACTGTAAACAGAACTTTTTGCACTTTGTAAGCGGGAGTGAAGGATAAAAGAGAGAGGGACTGGTTAGAAAGGATTTTCTCTTCTGACTTCTTTCCTGAAATTTTTCTCTACTGCCGCTGTTTATTGCAAGATCTAGCTGTTCAAGAAAATAAGATTTTTGGCTGAATAGCAACAACAATCAACCGATGAAGTGAGGATGCTCAACTTCTTGTTGGCTTCTCAGTATCCAATTGTGTTTGGAACAAGACATCAAGAGTGCTTAGGGTAAATCGTTGTAAATTTTCGAGACTAAACGGGAAACGGAGGAAAGGGTGGAGTTCAGTTTTGCTATACGGCATAGCTCAAATCATTTCACCTTCACTTTCAGCCATTTCATCATTGAAATGAGAAAGCAATGGGTTTACTTCCTATCAAAGGAAGACCTGTGCCTATCAAAGACCTGTGGACGTTTTAAAAGCGCTTGCTGCATTATATCGTCGTTTTCTCAAGTTTATTTTCTCCTCACTTTCATACCTTTCTAAATTTCATTTGTTGTCCTTCTCCAGTTAGCTCTATTCGAATTACTTTTTCCTTTTTCTACAACTATCCACTACTTTTCTTGCAATCTGTTTTGTTTTTTTGCTTGAGGTGAACCTAGTGAAACTTTATGCCATCAAGTTCAATTTTAATTCTCTTGGTTTTTGCACTTTTTACTTTTTCCTGGTTGATAAGAACCAAACCTTCTTTTTTTTCTATACTGACTGTGAAACCGAACTGGACGTTTTTCTTCTTCAATCAGCTTGCAAAATTTTTGAAATTTCTTAAACTGAATCTGCAGTTGTATACATCATAAAGCATCTATTTTAATGTTGCTCCTTACTTCTAACTACTTTTATTCATCTAACTCTTCCATTTCGTTTCCTTCTCGCCTTCGAGAATAATAAAAACCAAAGGTATTCAACAATGCATTTTGAATGAAAAAAAAAAGAACGGTTTTCTTATCCGAATCAAAATTGAGTGCAGAAGAAACTTTGATTCCATGTTTCTCATTTGCAAATAATCACAATGAACTTTAAACGTTGAACTATTTCATAGTAAAGGTAAGTTGTCGTCCAACTCGCTTATCTCTTTGCTTCTTCCTGTTTATCTGTACGTTTGCTAATTATTTTTAGTTGCTAGCCAGTTTGTAAAGGCTTACTGCAAAGGTATTTTTTTCTTAAACGCATGTTTGCACATTGTACTATTGATAGAAGTAGTTTTAATTTTACATTCCTGCTAATTTTCCAAGTATTTCATTCTTGTTTTGTAATAAGAAGATTCGAAGCTCTTTATAATAATTGTTCAATTTCATTTATTAGATTTTGTTCCCCACTCATTTTATAGTTTACGTTGCGACGAAAATTTCAAAGGGTGTTTTATAAATCTTTATCAAACAATTGAAATCCAGTAATTGGAGAGAAAAGTTTGTTCAATCTACCTGATTAATTAATTTTGTGAATTCATTTGACAGTCAATCTTCAATTGCAAAGTATTTTTCCCAGTGGCTTCTTTGCCTCGGGACAGAAATTCATTATCTGCTCTAACGTAGAAGTGGAAGAAAGGATCGTTCATGTAACATATCTTTGTACTTTTTCATACCTTTTCGAATGTCCTAAAATAAATGATGAAATGTGACTGAGAATTAAGCATTCATCTATTCAAAAATGCGCTCCAATTCAGAAGAGTGTTCCAACTTCAACTTCTGATCCCTTCCCCGAACTCCATCTTCATCTTACTCTCATAATACTGCTAATACTATATACTTCAGACTGTCACACACAAACTTATATATAATACATCCTCATACATGCACAATTCAAACCGGATTTGTAAACTGGACTGCATGTCGGATGGAAAAGCACCACCACCGCATGTGCCTCATTCAAACTCACTCGTTTGTTTTACTGAAATAATTCGATGTTCGTTACTTCATAACTTAGTCCTTACTTTGAATGTATAATAGTAAAGTTTGCTTATGCATAATGAGTGTGTTAGAAGGCTATATGATGCTAAATTGTCACGGTTTGCTCTGATTGATTCACTAAGCTCAGCAAATGAATTCACCATTGGTTTTTCGTGTTTTCAAAGGTCGCATGGTCATTCTCGGCGTTTAAATTATTTTACTAAAAAATGCTTCCTTGTTGAGCATTAACAAGTGAGCTATTCTGGCTACTCCATTAAAATATTTGTCCTATTGCCGTTAATAACAAAATTTAAAACATAAACAAGTGGTCTGCAAAGAGAGAGGAAGAGGAAAGATGAGGCGGAAAAGGTCAGCGCTCCGAGGAGCGTTTCCCTTCTAGCGCTGTTTGAAATGCTAATGTCTAACAATTTGTAATTTACATATTGTACCAATTACACCTGCTTGCTCATCCGTCTGTGTGCTTATTGCAATTGGAAGATTGGTAGACTGATGCAGGTATCTTATTTCATGTTACAATCGCGTTCAAGTGATTAATCTTGTGAATATGGAAGATCGGATAGATCAGGAATAGGGGGATGGTAAAATTGAAGAAAGAAGGACTTTCTGGTACTCAGCATAAGATGAACGTATGGAGTTGAGATTCCTGATGCAATCACCGGTAAGAAGTGCTGGACTGAAGCTACTGGGATAAGAAAACATTGTTCATATCCTATAGGAAATCTCATCTGGAGGATGTACTTCATTTTGCATTCCAGTACATTATACTTGCAAGTCGATTACTTGATCCCTTTTTATTTGAGCATAAGTTAGTAATACTTACTTTTGAACTGCTCTATGTAAAAATGTTGCTGTCATTTTGGTTTAATTTATGTACTTTTTGTAATTTAAATATTAAAAAAAACCACTCTTCCTTGTCTTTCTTTTAACAGGCCTTGGACAACCACGAAAAAATCACAGTTTGTTATCAGAGATGAAATAGTTAGCATATCTCTGCCACAAATTTGCCTTGAAAACACTGATAAAGATGGATCTGTCGTCATCAGTATGACAAAAAGTTTGCTTCTTTCGTCAGAGTATTAATTCATCAAGGTGAAGACTTTAATATTATTAATTGTACAACATGCCATTCTCTACTGGACTGATGGTATGTAAATGGGAGAATATCTATCTAGTGGAAGAATTCTGTTTGTCAATTATATCATCCTAAATTAGGTTAAAGGTAAAGGTACTACTCAGGTTTGCATACGATCGAAGAATTACATTTAGAATAAAAGTTTTATAAAATGACTTTGTGCAGTAAGGTATCAGTGCTGTGTTGGATAATTTCAGATATATTTTTAAACTTTAGGAAGTGCATTTGCACGACGCGTCATGCCCAACAGAGTTTATTCATTTTGTAGAAAGCAAAGTGTTCGATGTAAACCTTTATCCTATTGCCCTGATCTGCTTCTTCCCCCTCTAGCTTTTTAGCTTCCATATTATTCTCTTTAAACTCGTTTTTTGGTTCAGGTATTGATTTTAGTCAGATAGACAAACATTGTCGCTGACATTCATTCATCCATTCATCCATCCATACTTCATTGCTTATTCATCAAAGTATGTTGTACACCATTAAGTTATACAGCTAACAAGCCTTTCCCAAGAAACAGCGGAAAATTGCATTCTTTAGGAATCGTTGAATTTACCTGAATTACCTAGCAGCTAAAATGATCATTCGAAAATACAAAAATAATAGGTAGCTACTGTTTGAAGTTCGATGGAAAGTTGTACCTCCCTGTACTCGGCATTTTACTTCTTTCCACTTCTTCATTGAAGACATTTCTGTTTGCCAGTCAGTCAACGCATTCGTTTTTATTAAAAGTATTTTTATTAATGTATCATTAATTGTCAAATGAAAACATGCAAGGATCGGTGAATTAACTTTATACAATTCCAAAAATTTCCAGTAAAGGTAACTTTAATTTAGGAAGACATCTTTTTGGTTATCCACACTTCGTTATCAGTAATAGACCAGAATGTGAAGAATATCTGAAATTTTCACCGTGATCATTACGGTTGACCGGCTTTCAATTAGGATATCTACACCTCATGTTGAGAATCTATCGGATCTGTTCTTCTCGGTTTAGCTGCCTTTAGCTAACCTTTTACATACAGTATCCTTATTTTTACCAGCAGTTACTTCCCTTACTGTCCTTATTTTTACCAGCAGTTACTTCCCTTACTGTTATTTCATGTCTATTTTGTAGCACCAATAATCTTGCTATCCCACTAATATTCACTCTTCTATTTGTTGCAGGAACCACAAGATTCATAAAGTAATAGAGTCTGTTAATTTTAAAATAGATTTTAAGCAAAACTTTTGACGTATTTCTTTATCAAGCGTTGATAAGAACAACTCCCGCCTGCTTTCTGCTCATTGCAGGCCGCCCTTTCGGACCATGTTTTGGTTTTCACAGATCACCGGTTAGGAACCGCTAATTTAAAGTAATTGTTTTGAAGTTAAGGCCAACACATTCGCACTTATATCTCATCAGACATTTGACCGAAATATATTATGAATCACAGGAAATGCTTGTTTACCACAACTTGCTCAATGATATATAATGCTTTACTGATAAACAATCCCCGATATTTTTTAGCTGTAGCTTATGATAAGAATTTCCGTAAAATATTTTTGAAATTAAAAACTGTCTGCAAATGTTGCAAACAATTTAATACTTCTATATCCTTTATAAAATAATTTTTTCTTTTTAGTGTAAATATGGCGATGGCTCAACGAAGCGATATGATGACGGATGCTGATTTAATGGATGCAATTCAAGGCCTTGGAGAGCAAGAACTGAACGATGAAGTGAAAGAATTATTGAGTAAATTACTTGTTTTTGAAGAAACTGAGGGACATTCCCAACAAACTATTTTATGCTTCCCAAGTATTCAATGCTAACTTCCTGGGATAGTAGCGCTGATTGCGCAACGCCACTTACTTCAGCTAATATGTAACAAGTGAACCGTCTAATAAGTAAGGTGACATCTCTCACATAATGATTTTCGTTCTTTTATTATAAAATTCATTTTACCGATGTTTTTGACTGATTAAGTGAATTTAAAAAATTGATCGAAAATCCAAGTTGTTCAAAGTTAATTTACTTCATGGTTTTGAAAATAAATTTTGGCGGATTACCATTCAGTGCATTACTTTTTAGCAGACTTAAGCGATGTTTCCACTGCAGCCATTTCGGCCAATTTTATTTCGTCAAAATAATTAGGAAGCACAAAAGAACTTGCCGAAAAAGAACATATTGTTTACCGGAAATTACTTATTCATTCATAGAGATGATGAGCGATAATCGCATAATAAGTTGGGAAGAAGCGGAACAAATTATGGGTTGTGGTACTTATAATGGCCCCATCAAATCCTCATTACCTCCACAAACTAGACCTACGGAGCCAGATAACGACACTGATGTGGACTGGTCAATAAAACAGTTGCAAATGGATGACCCTAAACTGAAACAAGTTAATTTAAACAATATGAAAGTAAGTTTTTGTATTAATCCATCTAAAATATCACTAAATTCTTTAATCTTATAGTTCAATGTATTTACATAGAATAACTGAACGACCTTGTTCGAAAAATGACCCCAAAAATTTTCCTGTAATCCATCTATAAAAACTTGAATACTTTGTTTGAAGCACGTTTTACCGCCAACAAACAAATAAATTCTTAATGTTTAAGACTAACTTCAAAAAGGTCAAAGAATTAGTAAGTCGATAATAATGTTATAGCGTACACCCATTCCACAAGTGAAACGACTTTTATCCGCGATAAAAAATAATACACATCTGGAAAAAATTGCACTCGCCAATATGGGTTTGTATGATAATGATTGCGAGGCAAGTTTAAATTTTTGCAAACTTTGAGATTATATTTCAATTTTAAAATTTAAACAGTGCCCAAAGTCGTTTTTAATTGAATTGGATAAAGTAGGATAAGTTTCTACTTAACTTAGCATCTTTTTTTTAAAAAAAGAAGTGCTTAATTTTCATAAAACGGATTAATCATTTCAAACAATTTTGCTTCTTTTTTTCTTGCTTCTGCAAGTATGGAAATTTAAAGCAATGATAATTCCACCAGTGACATTTATCACAAAATCAAAAAGTCGGCGAAAAATGGGCTATTTCTAATAAGTTGCAAATTAATAAACCACATTTCATGGTAAGTTTTAAACTGATTTAGCTCCTTATCTTTGCTAAAGTTGAGTTGCCAGATAGACGTATTAGAATAAATGATGATAAACTAAGGATAAGCTTATCAGTGATTAAACTGAACATTACAGCCTATATTTGATGTGGTGGCAAGCAACACAACACTGAAATCAATCAATTTGGAAACGAATTATCTTAGTGGTGACTTCTTTGCGCGTTTGTTTAAAGCAGCTTTAGTAAATCAAACACTTGAGGAAGTGAAAGCTGTTAATCAGGTTCACTTTTCATTCATTAAAAATTCTTGAAAATTTAGTAAATCACTTAGTGTATTTGAATTTCAACTTCTTCCTCATAAGAATGTGCGGTAATAATTGCTTGCGGTGAGTAATGGAGCTGATACATTTTTCCCGGAAGATTCAATCCAATTACAGAGTTATTTTGATTTAAATGTTGATTAATAAATGACAACAAGCGAATAAAATGGTTTGATAGCTGTGAAATGAATAGATTTTGGAAGTATGAAAAGCATTCATATATTGAGAAGTTTGAGAAATGATATTTAATCTGAGAAGTTTGTGGAAATGTCTGTTCATTTAGATATGCATATTTAGCAGTGTTACTGGTTATTAAACGATTTCTGAATTCCTTCCCATCTCCGTATTTATCAAATAAATCATCTGTCTTCATACCAATAGTTCTCTTTATTAATTTTAGGATCTTCGATTTCTTGCTTCTTTGGTTCATTTTTCTTATTGCATTGTCTGATTTAATGTCTCATTTGGATATTATAGCATTCAAACATTTCAAATGCTATAATTTCCCATCATTTTACAGCACCGTTTCTGACAAATATTTGAACGTAAGAGTGTAAAATCACTATTATATTTAAATTTGCAAATATTTACATTCATCTCTCATTTCGTAAAAATGTCTATTGTTCAGGGTGTTACATTTGCCACAGCAGCTGAAAAGGAAATTATCGATGCCGTATTTCAAAATAGAGGCCTGACGAAAGTATCAATAAACCTTCGATTGCCGGAAGGTCGACATAAAATCGAAAATGCTTTGATTAGAAATCAGGAAATCAGTAATATTTTCTGATAACAAAAACTCTGATCATAAAAAATGTTTTAGTAAGACGAAAAATAGTTGAAAGCTGTAAAAGTTTTATTGCAAATAATGTAAAATGTTGATTTCAGGCTTTCAAACACTTTTTTTAGAAATTGAAATCTTTCTCCTGTTTTTTTCCTACTTTCTCAGTCTTTTCTCCAATAATCCATTTAGAAATATTTGATGAATTGAATCCATCGGATATGCAATTTCCCCTGGTGGGTGAATCTCTTTTCAATATAGCATTTCACTTTGTTAAGCATGAATCTTGCTTTCGCTGTTGCTCACACTCTTGCCCGAAACCATAAATGAAATGAAACCGAGTAGATGACAAAGAATCGCTTCTAAAAATCCTAAATAATTATTATGTCTGTTGACCTTTACAAAGCCAAAATATTGTTAAAGGAAGAATACTGAGGCGACAGGCAGCAGCTGCAGCTCGAGAAGCTGAAGAAGCACAGAAAAGAACTGGCGAAGCTAATAAACCGGTTACTGCCAAGCCAGAAATGCAGTCCAGAAAGCCTCAGCCGATGAAACCCGCTATTTTGGGGAATGCATCTCAAATACCATTTACAAGAAAACAATCGTTTCATGTTACTGAGGATTTTAGACAGGCTTCAACCAGTGATACTAGCAATTTAGGGAAGACACCTCCAGTTATTAAGGGAAATGCTGCGGAAACATTGCTTTGCGACAAAACTACTTCGACAGTCCTCGAAAAAGAATCGATTTTCGCTAAGCATGTCAAGGTGCCAGATGTCGTCAATAGGACCCCTATCAACAAAGTACTGCCGAAAGGAATCGCATCTAGTGAGTCATTCCCCAGAGTTGATCCAATGAAACCCACATCAAAAAAAACAGGACTCAAGAGAGCATCCATAAAAGCAAAAACGATCGATACTACCGAGGAATCAGCACCTGGAAAAGTGAAATCAAAGAAAACAATACCAAAAAAGATCTCCTTGGAACAAGCAGTTCCGGAAATAGAGTTAAATACGGAAGAAGTGCTTAGAAAGGTTTGTATCGTTATTTATTAAGGGAAACTGGAGTTCAAATATTCGGAACCTATTTCCGCATCAACTGATAATCAGGGATTTTTGATAGGCAGTTTGATGAGTTTATAAGGAGGCATATTTTGCTACTTAATGTCAAAGTGTTGAAGACCCGCACTTTAACATTAAGTAGCAAAATACGCCTCTTTGAGAAAATTTCAAGTTTTAGATGACATATAAATGTCATTTTCAGATTTTTTTCATTTTCAGACTTCTGTATCGAAAAAATCTTCGCTTGCTGTAAAGGAAAGTTTCGCTCCTTTCGGAATCAGTGAAACGACTGCTCCTACATCCACAGATTCTATACTTTCAAAACGGCAAAACAATCCCTGTGATAACTCGATAAAGAAAAATTTTGCAAAGCTAGAAAAAGAAATAGATTCCACTGTACCAGTACATGAAAGCTATCAGCATCTTAATAAAAAACCTATAGGTTTGGTCAAAAGCACTCGAAATTCCTCCTTAGTTCCTCCAATTTTTCTTGTTGCTGAACAGAAAAATGGACCGGTGAAGAGGAATTTCTCAATTCCATCGAAAGAAAATTCATCAGGACGGGAGAAGATTGCTGCAAAACTAAATGAACTAGAAAAATCCTCTTTGCGTTCCAGTCCATTCAGTTCACCAATGCCGGTTTATTCTTTAAAAAGAGAAAGTAATTCGTAATTATCTGAATCCAATTAAATTTCATATCTAAGTTCTGGATTGAACCTTCTTTTTTCATTTTCCTAAACTATTGTAATGTAACGTATTCTTTTATTTAACCATAACTTCGCATATTTGTACAAAACACATAAAATTGTTCGTCTATCGTGCATTATTAAAAATTTGTGAGCTTGCTGTTTTACTTTTTGCATCTTTAAAGAAAAATTTAAATGGTTCCTGTAATTTTGATCAGATCAATCAAATGTCAAATATATCTCAAATCAAAGAATTAGACAAAAAATGTCCCTTTGCAATTTTTAGCAAATTTCATACATTTCATCAGAATAGTACCACTAGTGGAACTTTATGACATTAAATACTAAATTAATTAAGCTACTAATGCTGCCTGCATTTTTCGAAACTTTGAAAATGTTCAAAGTTAAACTGTGGTGAAGTAATCATTCAAAATAATTAATTTATAATCTGCAACTAATTTGTGCATATTTTAACGTCATTATTGAATGCTTAAATTTGTATTCTGTCTTTCACTAAATCTCGCCAAAAAAACTTTTTTTCAAAATAATTTTGTTTTTGCAGCTTTTAAATTGTTTGACCTGAAAACCGACTAACATCATCTAACTGGAAATCAACTGAAATCACCTTAACACTAATCTCACATGATCCCAGTTTGCAATAAACCGTAGTTTCGAAAGTTTACCCAAAATATATTTTTGCTTTTCCATTTTGAAATAATTAAAATTTAGCAAGCTTCATGACAAAAATCCAGAAGTCTCCTTAGAACTTTAGAATGCAGACGGAGATCTCCCACAGAGATATAAATCAATCTTCCAATGTTATGTACCTGTCGAAAGTTTCTGCAAACTTTTTTATGGTAACCAATAATTTGATACGAGTGAGTTGGGAGTTGCAAACAAAACATTATACCGGCATCCTTTGTTATTGTCTTTCAACTATATTGTTGCCTTTCATTGGTACCAATCCTAAAAGCAAATTTTCATAACTTTCTTGGTCTTTTTTTTATTCGTCAATTTCAAGTCCACTTTTCCTGTTAGTTTTTTTTTTTCCATGTATAAAAATAGCACGACACAACAAATGGCGCAAAAAAAATTCGTCGAATGATTCATTAACTGCTCCAATATACTATAAGTATAGAAAGTTACAGCTGTAGTCAAGGCCAAGTTTGATTGGCCTACTGTTTTTAACTCACAAAAGAATAGTGCCTTTAAAGCATTGCTACGTAACAACTAAACAAATGACAGGGTTTTGAATGATTATAAATTCCGCACAATTATCTTTACCTCAGTTTCATATCATTATTCAGATGTGCCAGCTATATCCAAACTTATTTCGCTCAAAATCAAATAAAAATTCATGGCTTGATCGTCCAACTATTATCAGTATCAAAAAGAGTGTCACCATTTTATCGGACGATATGAAAAAAAATTGTTTTTTTCAGCTGAAATTATCGGTTTTGAATCGATTTATTTCCTTTTCTATTCATTTTGCCTCTATTTGTTCATGTTTGTATAACTGAAAATAAACTTAGACTGCATTAATAAATAAAAAATAAGAATAAAGGAAAGGTACACGTTAGAAGAGATGAAGAAAGGTAAGAGAGGGTCAGATTGTTACTGTTCCTTTGACTGGAATCGAGAAAGAAAAAAGGTCAAAGATTCGAAAAGGATCCAATTCGACCCATGTTTTAATACAATAAATTTGTCACACAACTGCTGAGGTGCAGATGAGTGAAAATTTTTCTAATTTCAAATTCTGAAAGAAAACGTATTCTGAAATTAAAAAGGATGAGAAGCAACTCTAAAGCTTTCGAAATAAAATGGACGACAGCTGCTCTAAGCCATCATGGGTAGGACTAAAAGTTTTCGTCCGGATTTTTTTCTCTCCTCCATCATTACTTATTTGCCTTTGCAAAGGGGTTTATTAGTAGTAGGATAAGATTCAGTGAAGATTGAAGAGTGTAAGATAAGATTTAGTGAAAATTGAAGAGTGTAAGACAAGATAGTTGAAAATTAATTTTGACACGACAGATACGATATGAGTTTATTGCAGTTAATTTGTCGATAATAAAATCAAAATAAATGAAATGAGTCCAAATTCGAAATATGGAAGAATTTACAATGATTAGAAGAGATAAAAGGGAGTATTTTTATTGAGTAACACAATTTGTCGGAAGACGACAGTTTCCGCAAAACAATTGGGAAGAAAAAAAGAAAGATGACGGTAAAATATAATGGATAATCCGTAGTTGAACCTTACATAGCGCGAGTTGTTTACAATATTGAGATATCTGATCAATTATGTTGTAAAATGTTAAAAAAACTTTGTGTGATCTTAGATATGCAAATGTTACATTATCATGAATCATAAAAATCGCAAGATATTTGGAAAAAATTGGAAGAACTGGAGATTTCCAATATGGAGTAAATAAATCTGTTTATATGATTAAACGAGTTAAACAAAAGGATAATAAAAATATTGCTATAATTTCATTTCATTAATGATCATTCATCTGACAATTTTACAATATATAAACAGCTAACGGATAATTTGTAAATTTAATTTGTTTTAACATATAAATTTTTCGAATTTCCGATATCTTCCTCATAGCTAATATTGGAAATGCATGCTTACTTCATCAAATATTTCTTTAATTCACTTTCTATAAAAGTGGAAATTTTCTTTCTATTGAATATTACCATATATGTTGATAAAATGAATCAAAGAACTTCGCTAACCACTTAGAAAGTTTTTCCTCACAAGATATAAAAGAGTTATGACTAGAAGAAATGGTGCCATTGATTCACTTACTGCTTTTTAAGGTAGTCGCTCTAAGCAGAGCCTCACCGGGGAGGCGATCTGTAAATGAAAATTTTCGCCTTATGCACTTTGTCGAAGTTTCAGTTCGATTGCTATGTTCGATTTCGAAGATATCGGATTTTTTTTTCCAATTCTCTCTTAAAACTTTCCATTTTTTGAAGAAGAATGACAAAGGAGGATATGATGATTGAATGGCGTAAGCAACGCAAATTGACGGTATCGCCAAGCGAAATAGGTCAGAGACCACTATACGACAGCACAACTAATTCAAACGAATATCAGCCATCTACAGAGCCTGGTGAATTATAACTTTCAATCCTCTTTCAGCATCCTCCTTCATTCTCCATATTTACATAAAATCTTGTTTTCAGTTGATTTTAGATTTGAAAAAATCACACGAAAAAATCATTTGTTAAAGAACTTTATTTCTTTTATAGCTTTTTTTGCAAACGAATTAATCACTTGTTGCAAACACGGCCTTAAATGCAGAGAATACTATAGTCGAGTAAGAGTTACGCGAAATTTTGTTGTTTAAATTGCTTTGTTCGAGAAGGTCCTAGATGTTAATGATTGCATGTTAATAGTGTCTCAGACGTTATTCCGCAAGTGAGCAAAATCAATAAGCCGGAAAGACCTTTTTTGAAGTATCATTTATATCCTAAAAATATCAAGCACAAAAATTTATAGAAACACTGATTGTTACGCTTTCAAATGACTGGTTCTGTCATGTTTGATTCGCTTCAGCTTTGTAGGAAGTCTTGATGAATACTTACAGACAAGTGTCAAGTCTTTCAATTTCAGAAATCCGACAAAAAGAAAATTTCTTCATTGTGGCCGATATCTGAACTGCTCGGTCAGATTGGTCAAGCCACAAACTTGGTATTTAATGAAATTGAAAAAGATTTTAAAGAAGTTAGAAAGATCTCATTTTTTAAAACATGATGACAGAGAGGAGATTTGTCGTCTGAAATCATAAATCATAACCAAACCTGAAATAGATTTTCTTTTTACCTACTTCGAATATTGATATTGAAGACGAAAACTACATCAGCAAGTTCAATTACTTTAAAATCGAAGGGAAGCTATGCAATTAACAGGTAGGAGATATCCCGTTTACATTAAACTGAACCGAAACCAAATTGAATCCAGATTTTCGTTTAATTTTAAGACATGCATTTGCATATATTATGAGGAAAAATGAATCATTCTTTTCGATTTCCATCATATCATCATATTGAACTGCTGTTATTAAGAACGAATAACCATACAAAGATGAATTTTTGATCGTAACTTCATCCCAGTGATCAATACACCCAACCCATTGGTCGACAAAGCCGCCGTAGGAGTAATCAGTATGATAACATTCCTGTAAGGTATAATGATCTAATGGAAAAGTTGGTCGTAAGTTTCACTATTACTTTTATCTTCTTTTCTCGGATTCAAAAAACCAAAAAAAAAAAATGCCATTCAAAAATTACATTCTGCAAATAGTTTATTAGAAAACATCAAGTCATGAATTACTACTTCCGCAAGAACCATTGACCAAAAATAATGCAGCGGAGATGTTACCAGAAAATGGTTCGAATCTGGAAATTCTGCACAGGTCAGACTATTTGCTCTATCTTTTACTATGTTGTTAAATTTGCATTAAGAGACTATTCGATTATTCCCGAAAGAAATCCAATAGCATATGCCATTGGTTAATAATGATTTCTTTGTCAATATTTCTGTTTTTAGGTTCTATCTTGGACAAAGACCTCGATCAGCTTCCATTCCACTGACACGGGTTGTCCAAAACTTTGGTTTATATCACGAGGTGATACCATGAGTCTATTATTTTATTATTAGATAATTTATTTTTTTCTAGTAGATAATGTTATGTAACTCATATTTCCATGACTCATATTTCTATTGATCGTAAAATTAGCTACGTCAATTTAAATCAATTTAAAACTGTCTTATTACTTCGATTCTTCCTCATATGTTTCAAAACAGAATTTCAAAAGTGAAATAAAGAAAAGTGAAATAAAGTTCAAAAGTGAACTTTAGCTACCGGAAGATGTCAGCAACCTAGACAATTTGAAGCATCACGCTCTTCTATATATCATTTTCGTAAACAATGATTTGGAATACAGGTGAACTATTTCATACCTTCAAATAACCGGAGATTGAATATGCGACTCTTTAAAAAAATGATTTCGCTTTCCATTTCTTTCCAGTTCCCATGCTGCAATCATTGTCTATCAAAGGTGACACCTATCAAAATGTAACGTTTTGCAAATTAAAGGATTCTGTCGACGTATCTGATATATAACTAATCCTAGGCATTTACCAATACAAGAATGTTTCGTAAACGGGAAACGAAGGCTGTTTGTAAAATGTGGCGACAAAAATATCCTACGGTTCAAAAAGCTCGAACACCTCGTCCGACATTACGCCAATACTTTTGCATATACCGATTGGTTTGTAACAACCTTGGATAAGCATGTGTAACACTGTTAACTACCACCTAATAAGGGGAAAACTGAGCTTAACGGACCGGCTTCACTTATTCCATTTCAGTTATACTCAGCCCCTCTTCGCTGGAACTTTCGTTTCCGCGTAACCATGAAGTATCCTAAATGCAGCGATTTGCTGCTCGGTCTAAACAAAGCTAGGCCGATTTCCCTAAACCATTATCAGTGTGTTTTTATGGAGAATTTTTTAAAACAAAAAACATCTAACAATTATGTTACAACCATTAGCTTCAATCGAAGTTTAAAAATATTCTAGCCAAGGCCGAAGAAGCCGTTTTCCGGATAATCCAGTCGAAGAGCTGACTCACAAACTTACCATTCCAAATAAATGAACTAAAAATCCGATATCGAAAGAAGACGCCTTCCATTATATCTTTATTTCATTCACTTCATGTACATGAGTTGCAACTATAAAATGCCGAGATACACTTTTAAAAATGGAAAATAAAAAAAAAAGTACGAATATTTTTCTTGCGAAATAATTTCAAAAAATAAAAACAATAGCCTGAGGAGGAAGGACATCGTGAGATCGCTGTCAATTATTGATTATTATTACCACAGTCATCAACCAATACCTTATTCAGTCTCATTATGCTGTAATGATGATAACTAAGAAAATAAACACATTATAAACCTATCATAAAATAAAGCAATGAGATATATAGAAGAAAATGATTATATAAACCCTCTAGAGTGTAAGAAAATATTTATAAAACACCGGCTTGGTCGACAGCCTGAAATATACAACTTGCAAAATAAAAAGTACAAAAGTTGCTAAAAGGTTAACATTAAAACAGATTGTAAAAGTAACTGAAAAAAGATTTACAACAGGCACGATGTTCGACAAACCTTTTCATGTGTAAAACATATCAAATTATATCAGCACAGGTAGACATTTTCACTACTGGAAAATTACATGCAAAAAACTTTCTCTTCAAATTCAACAACAATTATACAAGAATTTCTCTTAGAATTTAATAGTAATTTCGACAAAAAATATTGTATTATCTAATAAACCAAATTTTAGAAGAACTGACCTGAACACCGCAGCGCAGTGAGATACAAAAAACGACCAGGCAGTGTGCAGTGCGGCAAGCAAGGTACAGTAAAAAAGTTTCATGCCATTAATGGCTAATATCGAAAAATATAAACTAATTAAACGGGCTAGCTTATCTGGAATTATAGCTTTCGAGTGATCCTTGCAAAGCCCTACCTATATTACAATCCAAACATGCACGGTAATGGATTAAGTAGCAACTCTGCTAGTAATGTTATAAAGAAATTATTAGATGTCTTGCAAAAAAAAAATCAGAGGCGAAAATAATACTTCAAACGGAATTTAAAATAAGAGCGATTAGTCAATAATTTTAAACTAAAGGTGCCGAACATTTTCCATCAATGAAGGCAAAAAAATTTCATGAGCGATGTTTTATGGCAAACGCGATAGATCTGAAATTATTGGTAAATTTTTGGTAGGCTTATGCCTACCACAAAAAATTGAGGACAAAAACAAAAATCACATGGAAAAGAGACCAGAAAGATTATCTCTACCAAAATTATATTAATTGATTAGACAACAATTAATCATCACTTGGGATTGCTCCATTAGTGTCGTGACTACTTTCTGCAGTATCTATAAAAAGAAATAATTAAAAAAGTAAAAAATAATAAATGCTACTGAAGCATGAATAATACAATTATAGTTTTTTGTACCTCATCGCGCTACACCATTCAAGTCAGTTCTAAAATTTAGTTTGTTAGATGAAACAATATTTTTTGTTCAAATTATTATTCTAAGAGAAAGTCTTGTATACTGTTGAATACTGTCATATCTAATAAACTAGATTAGAACTGACTGAATACCGGAGCACGATGAAGGTAAAAAAAAAAACGAATAAAAAAATAAATAAAACAAAATAAGGCTTAGACTAATTTCTGCATCCAAATTTCAAGCAATCTAAATCTACATAAACTATGAATTCTTAGACCTGATTTTTTGAAATACAAACAATTTTTGTACTCAACCTTACATAAATACCTTCGATTACAAAAATATGCTATTCATGGAAATGCGGATGGACAAAACTGTTTTTAAAAATGTACTTACATTGCTCCCACATGCCGCATTTCTTATTGCGAAGCCTTTCCAACAAACTTTTGAAAGGATCCTCAAACGCTTTTTTTACCACTTCAACATCAATTTCACTCGACGAACTTGAACTTTCGTCACTACTAGATGAGCTTACATCGCAATTATGATGCTTAAACATATAACTTATATTAAGTTGAACCAGACTAAACTGAATAATGTGCACCAGTAATAAGTATTAATCATGACTTCAAAGTTAACCTTACTACTTTTATAAACATAACCTAGCTATTAATTAATAGATAATATAAACTTCAGATATCACAAACTTCAATTAAAAGGATAACTTTGTCACGTGAATTACGTTATATACCGTCGTAGTCAATGAATATCGAATCCGATTGCATAAATCAATAATTTCATTTATGAGCAACAAAAACAAAAAAATTTCCTTATTCGACTTACACGTCGATATGAAGCCAAGCGACTGCTATCAACAGCTAACCCAATTCTCCGCTGTCTTTTCAAAAATCTAAGAAATTATTGAATTTATGAAGGATAAGAAATCCTGTATAAAGATAAAAATTAACTAATACAATGTTTAACAATCCTTTATCATAATGCTTCACACTGTTCTTTCATTCAGCTGTATCTTTCAGAACCATTGATGAGCAGCTCAATTTTCTCATCTGGATATACTTCACAGCTTAATATAAAATGTCCAACCTGTTAGATTCATGATCGCTTTCAGAACTACTGTGATTCTTGCCAGAGCGTGACTGCGTGCCATAACGGGATCTACTACTGCTTGAAGCATCTCTTCTCTTTTCTGATCGAGAACCGTTCTTTTTGCGATCCCGTGAATCATCGCTGGAACTTTCTCCTTATTCTTTCCCTCGAAATATTTCAAGTACTTAATTTTGTCGTAAATTTCGAACTACTGTTGAAGAAAAATAATTTTTAATCAGTAACAAATCAAACACATTAAACATCCAATGAAATCAATCAATCCCACAGAACTCATTTTAAATAAACTTTTAAACCACCTGTGCCGCCTAAAATCTTGGTCGTAGTTTGGCAAACGATGATAACTACGTTTTCTAGTTGATCGTGCTAGCCGAGGATATCCTTCTCGATGTATTATAGGACTGCCATTTTCTATTTTTGTAACAGAAACATTTCGCTGTAAATTAAACATTTTGAAAGTCAAGAACTGTAAAATATCGAGGTTTGGAAAACATATATATACATGTAACTTACCGAACCAGAATCAGGAATGTTTTCGGATCGTTCTGCACATGGATATGACGGTAAACTGTAACGCTTATCACGATTTCCATCAGTTGTTCGATCAACTTCCGCAGGAGACGGTAAACTTCGTCTTTTATCGTAATCTCTATCATATTCACCAGATGAAGGACAGCTACACTGTTGAACGGGAGGTTTTGGAGGAAGGAAAAACTGCCGGCTGAAGCTGTCGAAATTCTCCAACATTGATAAGATATCACTTACCTAGAAATATATCTTTCCAAATACTTCGAAAATTATAAAGATGATTAATGCTAAACGGGAACAGATTCCTTCACCACATTTGCTTTCACAATAATTGCTTGATTTTGCTTTGTTTTTGCTCACATTTGCTTCAGTTTAACCCCAGTAGCGTTAACAAGGAGGTGGATCTCTACTATGAAGAAATAAATCCTCCTATGGAAATAATCAAAATGAAATTTAAATGGGTAAATAATCACCGAACCTCTTGCGCATATTCTGGCTTTAATAAAAGCTCTTCACGGATTTCAGTCAAAATTTGACCGAGTTTATTTTTCCCTCGCCATTTAGATGGACTCAGTGCATCCGGCTCATTGATGTCTAAACCTGAAATATTATAAGAGTAAATCTAATTTAAAGATGCCTTCCACTATCAGTATTGATAAAAATTATTCTGAAAAAATTCTGGCGCCAAATTCTGATTAAAGGCAAAATTAAAATTCTCCTCAAAAGAAAAAAGAAAAATCTTACCGATGCCCCATTCAAGGTCTGTAGGTGAACATTCCACTAGCGTACTGCCGTATGTGTAAAAAAGCTTCTTCCGTAACAACGGATTTTGCGTATATTTAGCAAAATTTCCTCTTCTCATCACATCGCTACTTATTTTGTTCCATCTGCTTATAACAAAAATAAATTAAAAGTGGCAGTTAACATGAAGTTAGGAACTGCCTAAATTAATTCAAATCTTCATGACAGTTGCGTCATTAACGAAATTGACTGTCGTTAGAAGATAATTTGAAAAACTGAATTCGATCCCACCTAGATCGTGATAGTTGCAGTAACGAAAAAGATATTCTACAAGTATAAACTGAACTACAGTGAGCAAATATCCTAACGAGTTTAGTTTTTGTTAATTGTTAATGTTAATAAACACTGGATATTAAAATCAAAATCATTTTTCGAATAAAATTTAAACGAACGCTTCGCGTTCAAAATTCTTGATGTTACGTGAAAACATTTTGATTTTCCGTGCATCACGTTCGTTCGCTATTTGCTCCGCTGTTTCATTGTCACCAGCAGAAAGCGCTTTATGATACCTGCAAAACACATTTTTGTTCCATTAATTTTTCAAATTATAAGCAATTTTTTGGTCAGACAAATTTTTTTGAAGATGGAATTATGTCCTCCATGTCATATGAATCAAGTTCATCCGAACGTTCGTTTAAATTTCATAGAGAGAAGGAAAGGATATGTGCAAATAAATAGCCAGACACTCGATTTCACGGTAGCTCAATTAGTCGATGAAATACGTCTCTGTAAAAGATTTTATTTCATACAAAATACATACGCGAACAGACTTCCTCAGAAGTTAGATTTTTGCGTACATTCCTCCAACTCCCAATGAATTCAACTAAATACAGTAGAAATCGAAAGTAAGATTCATAGCAATCCACGCAAAAAATTCAACTTGGTTCACTTTGAAGGGGAAAAATACTAACATGTAGTACTGTTCGGTGGAATAATACCATCTTTCTTCCGGTTTCCCACTGCCGACATCTTCAAATACTGCGAAACGACAGGGATGGAAGTTGGAAAATGGACTACGTATAGTGAAGAACAGGGTGAATTTTTCACCGCTTTCCGTTGTAACAATATTTGTCATTATTGTTATCTCTTCTCCAGTAACAACTCTGTCTCATATCCAGGATATACAATAGCAAATTGACCTACAAATAACATGCAATCAGTGATGCAATCCATGATACCGCATTATATTTAACAATATTTCGTATTGTTTCGCCTAACTAGCATGAATGTCTAGCGGTTCTTTTACATAACGTGTCTCTCGTTTTACACATCAAAAGATAGCTGTTGACAGATCTCAAAACAACTTGTCATTATATAAAATTTGATTGCTCTCTGAGCTATTTTCAAGAAAATATAGCTTAATAAATTAAAGCTCATTTTACAATGATGCGTTGTGACACATAGGAAGTTTTTCGTTTAACAATATTTCGTGTTATTTCGCCTGACTAGCACGAATGTCTAGCGGTTGTTTATCCCCATTTGTGGTACTAGTTAGTATAGTCAATGAACCATTATTTTGCTGAAAATTATACGGTATCCCTTATTATTAGTTGTGCAAAATAGCCAAGCCACCAGCCTGTCATCGACTTTTCCGCACCATCACTCTGATGGTAGCTTTTGCCCCTATGTTAACATGAAAAATATTACTCGTGGTCTCTGGCGGCTATACATATATATCCACGACTAGTTTAGAACTACCAGGTGACAACTCGCTTGGAACTACCGAAGGCCTTCCTAACTTCTCCCAAGGGAGGAAATACTACATTCACCCCTACAATCCATTAAAATCCAAAACTAAATGACCTTCCAATGAGATCATTCATGTGACACCGCGTGACATCTATATGACGACCAAACGAACACAACACCTCATGCCTACCCACACACACAAACAGCAACAGTAAAACAGTTTATGACGAACATCTCGAACCCGACCAAGATATCGAAGTCGCTCACGGTGAAGTATACAACTTTGCCGGTAGCATAAAGAAAATGAGAATCTCATTTTCTGACAGAGAATGATGATGGAAGGGGAAGTTTTGAAGGTTTTGTTTCACAATTTCTTCGGGAGAAATTGAACGCAGAGATGGTCTCTGTCTCTTTTTCGATTGCAGTATTGGTTAGCAATATGACCATGTTTAGCCACGTGAAGCACAACATACGGAAATCTTACCCTACAGGATATTAAATAGATTCCCACCTGTTATACTGTTTTATTTGCACCCGCTGCTTACTTCAGCAAGAGATAAAGTGTTAAGAGAAATTAAATGTAATCATTAGCGAAAGTGATAAAATAACAGCTAGTGACAGTTAATATAGATATTTTCAATGGCATAACTATTTTAGATAGTGATGTTATCATTATTGGTAAACATATTACTAAGTTGTGTGGGTGCATACATTTCATACCACATAATCCTGGAATATATTCCAGTCTTCGTAAAACGTCAAATGTACGGGAAGGATCAGTGCAAAGTACGTTATTGTCATGTTATGCTATCGTCTTTGGTATTATAGATGTGCTAAATGTTAGGGCGAAGCATTTTCGCTGCATTTGAGTCTAGGATAGGCTATCAAAAATGGGTTGAATATTTTGCGATTTCATGAATTCGAAATATATAAATTAGCTTTCTTTAAAAATAGTGTTTGATAGCGAGGAATCTGCATTTTTCTCAATCAGATAAATTCGTTTTGGTAAACCAATTTAGGAGTAGAAAATTAAACCGAAAGTTTTTTTTAATGGAGAACATAGTCTCCCAGCATTTTAGTTTCCTACGGTGCATCCATTTTTAGATTGATGATATTCCTGTGCCTGAACCAATTGGCGTCATATCAGCAGCTGTTTATTTAATTGTTATGTTTTTATTTATTCCATTCCCAGTTTATGAATGGTCACAGTTTGAGTAAGTATTATTCCAAAGTTTTATAGGTTATCATGAACATGAACTTATATTATTAAATGTCTATATAATCATTTTCAGTATTCTTTGGATTTATAGGTCATCCATTCCACATCAAAAATTTTTGATGTTCTTATCAGCACTGACGGCGATTTGTTCCGCAGTTCTATTGGGTTTTGCAGATGATGTTTTGGATTTACGGTGGCGACACAAACTTCTATTTCCGACACTTTCATCGCTTCCGTTGCTTCTTGTCTATTATGTGTCTGGTGAACTGTTTCTTTGTTATTTATTACTGTAGCTAAGTTATAAAAAAGTTCTTACTGCCGTTTGAAGTTCTGCCGTTTGTTTTCACTGTCTCTGAGGTTCTATCGTTGATTTGAGAATACATGGTTTTCCTTACTGATTGGGCAGTATATCAGGGTCGTCAGCCACGATCGTGTTACCTTCTGTGATTCGGACTTTATTCTCAGTGCGGGAATGCATCGACATTGGAATTTTTTACTACATTTATATGGGTATGATGGTAAGTCTTTAAAACTTGGTGTTCGTTTTGCTCAGTTTTTCTTGGAAGTATTAATTGTGCATTGCATTTGTTTTTCTTTTTCTGTTTAGACGGAAAAAGTAAACGAAGCTGTCGCATCATTCCCTGTTATACGTTGTAGATAGTGTTTTGCACGAACGCAATCAATATTTTGGCTGGAATTAATGGACTTGAAGCTGGACAAGCTTTTATAATAGCAGCTTCTGTTGTTATTTTTAATGCGATTGAAGTAAGTCTTTACTTTAAAATCCGGGATTTCACTAGGCACTAAAGCTGGCAAAGAAAAGTGGGAAGACGAAGTTTTGAGTTCGGAATTCAAAGTAAAAAATTTACTAACCCTTCTTTTGAATTTTAGAGACTCAAATGAAAAGTTTCGCCCAGAGCTTTGAAAAGTTGATGCGCTATCATTTAACTGCATCTTTGTTGTCGTTTAATCATTAACAGATGATCTTATTTCTTCCTTAATTGTCAGTTCTATTCTAGGGATTGTATTTTAATGATCAAATAAGGAGTTCCTCATGAATTTCACCAGCTTTTTTTACAGTTATTCCGACTGGATCCATCTCTTTCATGGTATCATTCACTTTCTCTATATTTTTTGTTGCCTTTTTTGGGAACGACATCTGTTCTGTTGTATTTCAACTGGTAATTATTTTTTTTCGAAATATTATTTTTTTTGTCGACGTTTTCTCAGGTCAGGCTATCTTAAAATTTCTACATTGCTAATCAAAATTCAAGTATTCAGCTTATTATTTAGGTATCCAGCACGAGTTTTTGTCGGTGATACATTTTGTTATTGGGCCGGGATGACTCTGGCTTCGGCTTGTATTCTTGGCCATTTTACCAAAACTATGTCACTCTTTTTGATCCCACAGGTAAGTTGTTACTTTTTCTACAGCATATTTTATCTACTTTATTGGTTTTGATTTTGTTTGATTAATTTAATTTGCGCTTTTTGGCAATTACATTTTCCGTTTTGAAGTTTCTTGAATTTTCGGTCAGTGCCGTATGCCAGTGTTGCTTATATATTCGTATCAAATTCATATCGTCATTAATTAAGACTTTTTTCTTAATTTTGTTGGACTAACGAATCATCGGTGAATTTGATCTAGTAAGCAACTTGTCGTTATTAGATATAAGTGAACTAATGATATTACATGTGAAAATTTAATAAGAGCATTTTATAATAAAATTAAGAATCAGTATTTCAAGCGACAAGAAGGGCAGAACAGTACGTTTTGATCATATTATTAATTCTGATATTTGATACCTTGGAAACTGTGAAGTTGATGCTTTCCAGATTTTCAATTTTATTTATTCAACTCCTCAACTTCTCCATCTTGTCCCTTGCCCGCGTCATCGATTACCGAAGTATAACAGCAAAACTAACACCGTTGATATGAGCATTGTTGAATTTAAAGAAAATGGTCATATTTTGAGTTAGCTTAACTTTCTTTTCTTCTGCACTTTTTTGTAAAGCATTTGTATTTTTTGCAGTTTTTTTTTGGTTAAGGTCAAGGAGACAAGTTGCTGCTCTCCCGCTCTTGACACTTTTTTAATGTTCTCCAGATATGTTTGTTCGTGAGTACTACTGCCATTATGTCTAAGATTTTTAATTAGTTATATATTTTTCAATTTCTTTTCAATTTCAGATCTCAAACCCTTGACCAAGACAGTTCTTTATTTTCTAGATATATTTGGCTTGTTGTACAAGAAAATTATTAAAAAGGATGATGTGAGGTAAGGGTTTTTGTGCTTCATTTTTTGATTTATGCAGCGCGGATTTTTTCAAAATGTGACTATGGGTAAAGGCTGAGGCATTTTAAAGTGATTTACCGTTTTGAATGAGAAAGAAGGGTGGAAAAGCTGTCGTAAATTTGCTTATCACTTTGGTTTTAGTCCGTTTTTCACTTCAGGTGGATAGTTGTCAACAATCTAACGTTATTAAATCTGGTTTTGAAATTTACGGGTCCAGTGCAAGAAAAAAAATTAACGGAACTACTTCTAATGTTGCAAGTTTTATTTTCAGTTCTAGCATTTTTTATTCGATTCTATGTTGCACATCTGATGTATGAAGTCGTTTTATGAGTTTTGTTGAACTATAAATTTGGGACCAACTCTGCTCAGTTTAAAGCGCATTGGAAAAGTTGAGGCCTTATACTGATTTTCGAGAAGTTGTAAAAAACAATTATCTGTGCTCGAAATCATTTCCAAGTTCCACGCTAGTTCAGAGTTGAAAGTCTTGCCGTATAGTAAATCACTGTATTTGTCCAAAACTTTCCAAGTTATTCTAGAAATTTTCCTTCTCTTTGCGAACAGGAAAATGTGAAACCAGTTAAAATTTTGTTACGAAATCTCATTAAGATCTCAATCTTTACTGATGGCACTATGTAGCTATCTATGTAGCTTTGGCATTATGTAACTTCGCTTATTTTTATAAAATGAATATGTTCGTTATTGTTATTTTTTGTTAGAATATGCACCAGAACATGATAAAGATTCTCAAAGATTCTTTAATACATTTTGTTAACGATTTATTGGTGAAGCATCACAGACACTGTATTAAAAATTTTGCATTGGGACGTACTTTTGTCGAAATCTGCTTAGACGCTTCAGTAATATCGAAAACTGAAGACAATGCTTTTCTAAATGTTATTCAGTGAAACTTTTTTCTGCTATCGCTTGCTATAGAAACACTTATATGTGGGGAGAGGATTATCCAGATCATTGAAGAGGTATAAAGATGTGAAAATTTTTGATTTTCTTGGGAAAGGAAGTCAACATCGCTTTTTTGCCGAAACTCTCATTAAGATTAGAGTTCATTTAACAAATCATCACAAAGTAACAAATCCAAAACAGAACTTACTAACTGAGGAATAAACACCTTATAGAAGCAAAGAGTGCATGGGATCTAATGCGCAATGCTTTCAGAAAAAGTGGATTTTCGCACAATTTAGATAAGTTCAAAGTGAAATATCCGCTCAGTCCAAGTGGCTTCGCTCGCCTTCCCCGCTCCTGTCTCCATCGATTTCTCATAATATGTGGCCCGATTGTTATGGTCCACAACAATAATTGTATGCGACCTAAAATTAGAAGGGCAGTTAGACTGTATGAAAACTGCATTTGTTCCGTTCGAGAGGATTCCTGGAAACCCATGAATGCTCTTAAAACTTTTACTAGAATTTAGAGAAAGACGAGTTTAACTATACCGAACGGTAAAATGATAGCAGACCTAGTGCCATAAGGAATCCCATCAGGATACCTCACAAAAACGGCGGCACGATACTTACAAAGTTCGTTGGATCGACCACACCGCCGCTTTAATTGATCATCTGGAAAACATCTGCAAAATGGTTGGTGTAATTAACAGATTAATGGATATTAAAGCAGTGTGTGGGCGTATGTTGGTACGTCCTGGGCTCCTGAAATAACCCTTAGTAGTAGGGAAGAGGGAAGGCTTATCAAATGGTATTATTTTCGGGATTAGGAAGATTAAGATTTGGAATAGATTTTTTATTTACCATTCTTTTATTCCACTTACATTGTTATATTTAACATCAATTTTCATGTCCCTTTTGTTATTAATATTAATTTCAGTTATTCTAATGAAATAAATCAGTAATGCTTTGTTAGATTAATTGATGTGTGAACATTACAGCGGTGACAACTTAGAAAACAACAAATTTTTTAAGTTAATCCGACCTCTCTCCCATCAAATTGTTTCTTCTCTTTCCTTCTTATGAATACAATTGAAAAACTTACTGATATTTATCAGTAGCTAATTGTAGAAGGCGTTCAATAATTTCTCCTTCTGAAAGATTTTTGCTGTTTATTTCTTCAATAATACCACTCATTTTTTCTACACCCCGTTGCACTTTTTTAAACGGCTCATATGATGGGCTGTTACTAAAACCGTGAACACCTGTAAAGGATCGCATGGATTCAAGAAAATCAGAGAAAAGATCACAGATCTTATAACATCAATGATTCGTTCATGAAGTATTTCAAGAAGTTAGCGACCTGGTGGGTATCTGGTAATTTCAATTTTATCACTCGACTGATACATTAGGCCCGCAACTTCATACTGATCGTATTCGTTTCTGAAATACACGCTTATTTCTTACGAATCATGAAAAAAAAAAAACCTGCATTCTTGGAAATTTAGACATTTGCATCAACAAGTAATTTAATTCTAAAGCTTTTGATGGGTTCCAAATTATTTTTCAGAGAGCGTAAATCAAACAAAAAGCTAATCAAGATTTTAGTTTTTTGAATACTGTAATTTGTACTTGTGGAAAAAACTTTTCTTTAATGCATCTTAGTATTACTGCCACAGGCCACGCTTTAACTTTCAGTTAACTACTAATGATGTTTCTTTCAGTTAACTACTAGTGATGTTTGAATTGAAAATTTATCTTTGGAAGCAAAGTATCTGGAATGCATTGTATCTGTTCACGGTACTAATCAATAATTTGCAAAACTCTTCCGGTTTTTTGTTTGATTCCACAAAATTTATCGGCAGTGCTCCTGAAAATACAACGTCATGCCCTAACTTTCGACTTTCCCACAGATCGTAACATTTGAGAGTTTTCTTGACATATTGTTAAATTTGAATGTTACCCCAGCTATATTCAATTAGTGAAATTAAAAGCTGCATGCAATCGTGTCCTATCTACGGATACATTACCATAAAGAATGCAAGACTGAAGTGACCGTAATCAAATATATAGAGTAAGGAAAAATTGATTCATGGATAGAACACTAATACTCGACCTCTGGTAAGAGAATCTGGTTTCATTTGATGTATGGGTACGGTGATTGTCAGTAAATTACTAATATGACCAGTGGCATTCATGCACAACCACGTTCCACGTGTACTTTCTCTCTCATCGCGCCCTGAAAAACATTGTTCCAGTTTCCAAGTTTGAAGGTCAAGTTCCAATTTAAAGTAAATAAAACTAATAAGAAGTCCCCATATGCCATAAGGATTGTTCCAGGATAGACAGAATTTCTAGAGTTTTTTGAAAATTATCTTTCGATAAATCTTCAATTCCATTCTTTGAATTCACTTCCAGCACTTTTTTTTTATCCCAATCCAAATTTTAGATATAATTATAGTCTTCCCTCAGCAGGTTTGCTGTAACCATGAGTCCCCTCACAGCGGAGTGAATTGATGGAGGTAACCACTGATTTGTACTTTCATATGTTTTACTAAACAATAAATCCATGATTAGTCATCATTCACCCTTTCCTATTATTATAAACGATAAGAAATAACTAGAACTGAAACAATAATTTTAAAGATTGTAAACAGTTATATATGAGGTACCAGCAAGGATGCCATTTTCCCATTTGGCGGTACTGGTTGGCCGATTGAGCAACTCATCACGATTATTTAGCAGAATCAATTTATATTTGGCGTCTGGATTGTGCTCAACGTATACAAAAGTTATGCACATTTAAACAATCGAAAATAATAGGTAAGATAATTACTTTAGCTTGAACCATAAAATAAAACTAAGACCTGCAAATCAGTACAGGCATTCGTTCACAAATAACAATAAAAATTAAAATTTCGCTATCTGCAACGTGAAGTACAAAAGCAAATCACAAAGATAAACTATTATCAGTCATTGATTTAACACATAACAAACTTCGGGAGAAATAGTGGAATATAATTCAATCAATTCCGCAAATGATGGAATAAAGATAGTAAAAATGGCATTATGACGTGCACTCCAACAAAAACCGGATTTCTTCCAAGGTTATCAGATGGAAAATAAAGAAAAATGATACAGCGCAAAAGAGTTAGCGATATTTCGTTTGCTATTCCATTCAATTTTCGTATTAAAAGGATGAAGAACGATCAATAAACCCCTCCTTCTTCACCTACATTCCGTAACTTTTAATCGGGATTGAGCAAAAAGTTCCTGACGAGAGATGCCACAGTAATGCGGGTAACATAGGATCCGCATGTATGCCACCTTCTCCCCCTTATCTTGCAAAAATCGTAATAATCTTTGTCAAGTATGTGGCAACAATTCCCTTTATTGCACTGTCCACCAAATAATATTTGCGGAGAAGCTTCTGTCAGCTGTATGCCTTTGGTACCACTCTACCGATATAGTCAACTGTGTTGCGTTTTTCCGGATTTCTCAAAATATTTGAGATTGTTAACTAATCACTCCACCAAGTAATACCCATCCCTCAATAATTCCACCGAACATTAAATTTAAATTTATTTTTCGAATGGAACAGATTTAACGGCGAAAAAACAGGGACGTTTATATACAAAAGCATGCATACTTCCATGAATTCAAAAATGAAACAGAGAACTTTTAAAGAACTACTCGAATCACATTCAATGATTGCCTATATAAAAGGAATGGGAAAGAAAAATAAAGTTACAAGATGCAGAAGAAATGAATACCTGACGAAGTGAATCCAACTTACAGTATCTCTGCAATAAATCTCAATAAATGGAATTACATTTGAGGAATATAGTACCATTATTCCCTCAAAAACCTAAGAGAAAAAGGCAAGTTTCTTACAGTAAAACGACAGCACAAATTTCAGAAGTATGCTTCATATTTAAACCATACCTCCTATCCCGCTCCCTTTTCGGTTCAGCAAAAAGTGGTACCACTTTTCGAGACGCGAAACTGACTGGTTCGGCTCATGAAACAACCAAATTAAGTGACGCAAGTGTCATAATCAGATACAAGAAATCTGAAGAATGGAACATTTATTATTAACTCTTTGAAAAAATTTTTAACAAAAGGACCAAAAATATGAATTTCTTTAATTAAGATATTTGATAATATTTCACCATTTTTACGAATCAAAAAATATGGAATTTCAGCACAGATGCCACTCTCCACTGCCTATCATAATACAGCTATCGTAATTCGTATGATTTTGAAAACCACAAAACGACCATACTTTGATTTCACACGTCGTCAAGATCAAAATAATGTATTGTATCGTCCCAAGTAACATCAGATATCGGAGTTAATTGCTTTCGGCTTCGTTCAAAATATGTACAGCGACCAACACCATTCACCAGCACAATGGTATGAGATCTTGAAAATGCTGATTTCTCAAATGCTCAAAAATCATTGAAAATGTTGAAAAAAATCATGAATTGTTAACTATTCACATGCTGAAGATACGAATGCCAGAATCAACTTTATAAGCTGGAAATAAAAACAAAGAAATAAAATGAACCTTGTTCCATATCGTAGGGGTTTCGGGAGTTCATAAAATAGTTGCGACATAAGTTTGCAGCTGTCTTTATCTTGTTCCTTTTGTGAAATGAGCTGCTCATCGGGATGATGACTGGATAGTAAACTATGATTATTGCTACTCTTTCAGTGTAATTACTGTTGAAGCAGTAATATTTCTGGCAAGAGATTTTTGCTAATAACATATATTGGATTAAACCATGAACTGTAATTATGGTGGGTATTTTAAAATAAACTCTGATAGCATTTCGTACACTTTTTAAAGCAAAAAAGAAAGATTCCATGAGTTTGCTAGGATTTAGAACTGAGGAGCAAACTTTATGAAACTACAAACTAAATCTATCTTGGTAATCATTCTAATTCCTTCTACATCAGTGATGCTAATCCATCAAATCACATTTTCCCCAGCTTTTTGTCAGTACATGACAGTCTACAGGGAAAATCAGTAAAGTCACAGAAAGAGATTCTAAAAAGACATATACCCTAAATGTCCTAGCAAAGCAATTCTGTGGAAAACTAATTCTAGTGTAGTGGTGTAAAACAACGGAAAATTCACAACGTTACCTTGTCTGATCAACGAGGATATCCAAGAACTGCTTCATAAGTTCTTGTTCGTTAACATTCTTATCATCTAGCACTTTCAACTTCTCTTCGAACAATCGTAAACCGTAAGTTATTTTTTTAAACGGCTTTCCTAATGCATTATTTCCAAACCCATAAACGCCTAAAATGAAAATATTGATAACAGATAAATTTGATAAGAAAATAATGATTTAATCCATTCAACTGATCCAGTCTACGAAAATGAAATCTTCATAACAATAGCGTGATGAAATATTGATTTTCTTGGTCGAACAAAGAGAAAGAAGCTGGAGACACTTCAGGTCTGAAAGAATAATACTCTACTCAATCTATATCTCACAACCACTTTAATTTAAAAGTAAGTTGATGTCAAATCATTTTAATTCAACTGATTAATTTGGAAATCCTGAGGCCAAAACACTGTCAACTTGTAGATCATTCGCATTCAGTTATCTGTTACAGCTGCAGACAAATCAAACACTAATTTTAACAGTAGTCCATATGTGTAAGTCTGTGAGAAAGAAAAAAAATTAACTTTCCATACCCAGCAAGGATATGAAGAAACATATCCACACAAATGCAAAAGCTCACGCATACTTCTATACATTACGCACTTACATGTATATATACCATCATCATGTCTTCAATGACTACGTCAAAAATTTCGATAATAAACACCGACCAGGGCCAAATGCTGCAGTCGGGCTGTCATGTCGGTTAGAAAACTGAACTCCAAAATATGTTTTTCGTTCAATTTCTTCATTAAAAAGCCTATAAAAGACACACTTTAGCTGCCATGACTCTACTAAGTGTCTATCGCTGTAGATATGAAAAAAATTAGAGAGGCGGTGGAGTGAATACAGTTTAAGAGACTGAACTTTCCTCCAAATATGAAGCAAGTTGAGGTGATGAAAAAATTAATTCAAAGATTCTCATAAATCCTTTGATTTCACTCCACTTTCCCCTTTTGCCATTTTCATCTTGTTTCGAAATAGATTTGCACTCTCGGCAGCAAAGATATTTTCTTGAAAATCAATCAAGATTTTAACACAGGCGTTTTCCATCCAATTAAATAAGCTGACAACTAATTTTAGCACTGAAAGAAATGACGAATTTTTAGGAGTTTGAGGGGTTACCATTACTATACATTAGTGTAGAAAGAGCGAAAAGCGATATTTAAGTACCCTTTGTCAGATGGTCAACTAATTTTATCAAAAGGAAAATCTATAGCAACAAATTATCGCCAAACTGAGTCATAAGTATAATGGTAGCATTTTATTTTTACGTACCGATGAAGTAGAATTACGTTGAAACCGTTGTACTGTTGTGCTTCTTTGGATAGTTGCTCAACCACATAGTTCTCTGGTGGCATTTCGGATTTCAGATATTCGTACACTATTTTGCCTGACACGACTTCATGATCAAAAGAATTTTACAAATTTGAAAATCTGATTTTGGGACAAAATTCCAGATCGCTTTTTGAACATTCTCAAATCTTAATTTCGAATTAAATTTCAAATCAACTTCCAAGCCTCCTGTTTTCTATATATGTGAAATTCAGACCACGCGTTATCGCACAGGGTACTTCGTCGGTTGGATTCTCAAGCACTGCAAGGATATTCCCCAGACGACCATTCCTAGTCATTCCTAACCAAGTGCCACCATAAGGATCTGCTTGATCTCGACCTACAACAGATAAGAAATGAATCAAACAAATGATAAAACCATGACGATCAAACTAATTTCGGAGGCTTAAAACTTTCCTCAACAGATTGGAAGTAAGAATTTTTTTTTTCTGTTCGACGTCAAATTCAAATTAAATATATGTTATGGATCGGGTAGTATAAGAAAAAGCTAACTTCTGTCCAGAAGTTCCGTACAAGGGAAAAGTCTTTACTATCTAAAAATCCTTAACAGAGAACAATAAAACACCATTACCACACAGAATACCATCTTTCCAGGCAGGTGGTAGTGTGGGTCGATCGAACAGCTCATCACGGTTGTTTAATACGATCAACTGATAACTTTTCGGATCATCAATCGCTTTATCATTTAAATAAATGAACGTTACGCACATTCGTCCACAAGTGAGCTTGAAATTATCATTCATAAAATGGCATAAACTTTATCGGGTGTGAAAACACACACTATTATACGAGAAATGACGAGTTAAGTGGGAGATGACGTATGAGAGATGAAAAAGAAGAGCAAGAAGTTTTGGAGAGCAAACTAACACTTTTTCCGGATTTGGCCCAACCCAAAACTTTCAAAAATAAAAAATGAAATACGGCATAAAATGCGAGATGAAACCACCCGTGTCCTTTCCAGGAGCGACTGAGAGATCCCGTCACACTTCGTCTCCACCACCAGTTGTCCATCCCAGACTTTCCAAAAAATAATTTTCTATGTCCCTACTAGCAAACTGTCCTCCATCTCTGCCATTGTATATTTTGCTAATTTCTCATTCTATACCACTGTTCCTCACTATTTTCATCATCTCTATTGTCTTTCTCGGTGTAGTAGAACTTCTGGTCACTTTTCTGAATGATTGCTGCTGCTAACTAATTCAGCCGCTGTTAACAACTCTGTAGCTTTCCCGTTTCTTCACTAACCGCACTACTTCCTCACTTTCAACCTTTGACCCATACTGTTTCAGGTCTACTCTATCCTCGATCTTTTTCGTAACTGTACTATTCTTTTCTTTTCTTGTATCCCAACACGAATACTTGAAAGCTACACAATAAAGTGGAAGATGAAGAAAGACAGAACACCTATCACTTTTTAGGCTTTATTGCGAAAGTTTTAGATGTTAAAATTCCTAATGTTTGAGGAGAAGACTTCAAATCAGAAGTATTGCTGTTGCGAAATGGTCTGGTATTTTTCTGGTTTGGCTTCAGGAAATCCGGGAGTATAGTATTCATCTTTTGCGAGTCATTTCAAAAAAGGAAATTCTCTGGTAGTTTATGGTTTTCCAGTTACCCAGGAGTTCATGTGATTGAGTAACCGGACTGTTAGATACCAAGTATTTTCTCGCATTCCTCTTCATCAGTAGTTTGTAAAATTAATACATATACCCTACCATTCTATTGATCATATGACCTCTTTGCGCTTATGCATACTTTATTCACATTAGATTACTGAATTTCTTCCTAGTTATTTCAATAATTTCAGACTTTCAGCCACTTCATTTGGCCTACAACTGCATGGCCTACACTATTAATGTGTTTCGCAACTTCCAATAATGACCTGCATGATGTCATCTGAAGGTATTTAGGCAAATCAAAGTAACGTGCTGCGACACACTGTTAGACAAAGTTCGTACGGAAAAGTTATAGACAGCTTGTTCAAAAACTTGCATCAACCATGGGATGAACCTAAAACACTTTTATCTAATTCATATCAACAGCATACCTTAGTCTTACGTATTAATTCATTTGTATAGAAATCAGTTCTTTGTAAATGAGAACTTCTGAAACATTTTAAGGGTAAATGGTATAATTCTGGTGTTTCAATGTTGCTTTTCAATTTCGGAAAACCTCAGCTTTGCAACACATTTGTAGTCAAGCAATCCTAAGCTGCACAGTTTTCAAATGCATTCATAATGAAATGCAGTGGAAGTTGACAGTGGGAAATTTTAATTCGAATTTCCAAAAAATTTTTCTGTTATTTCTTCATTGCAACGTCTTCAATACTTTCATTTTTGCCCATCCCTCGCATTTTTTCGATGTCATGATTTTTTGTAGGTTTCTGTAATTGTTCGACTGAGAAACGAAGCCGACTCAGGTTAGCTAATTCAACTGCTGGTTTCTCATGTGCGAATGCCGGAAAGTCATGTGGGAATGGTCGCTCTCGAAACTTTATTCCTAAACTTGTTAGATTAATTTCTCCTTTAAATCCTGAAATTACCCATATTTTTTTTGTGGAATTTAATTGCATATACGCAAAATGAAGGAAAACAATTGATGTTTGGCTTACTGATTGCTAACATGTGCGATATTCAGTCCAGAAAACTTTAGTAACGATTTCAATTTTACTGTCTAAAAGGAGGAAAGAGATGGAAGTAAGGCACAAGCAGATGATTAACCGTATTTTGACCACACAATAAGTTGTTCAGCCATATCTAAGGCTCGCTGTCCATAAATTTCTCTGTAAGCAAAATTTTGTCATCATTTGAGTTAATAAATTTTCCTTTTTCGAAATTCAAAATTAGAAATTTAATTTTTTGAAATTTCAAAGTGACCGAAATATCTTATTTTTTTGTGAGTTTGAAATTTAAAATTTGGAATGAAGTATACGGAAAAATTACTTATTTTATCCTTCTTTATTTGCCTAACCAGCAAAGAAAATAAAATCCAGCTCATTACTACAAGCACCTGGTTGGCCTGAAAATGCAATCCACCGCTACTCTTCCTTTCTGGTCGTTATCCGTATCCAAATCATGAATAATGTCAGCTTTCTGCATTTCAAATGTTGTCAACGCAAGATCTTTGTGATCGACACCCACTTCATTATCATGATAAATTCTGGACCGATTGCAACCCATGACAGTTAGTGTCCTGTATCATGACAAATAGAAATGATTTACGAAATGGTAAGAATTGAATCGTTTTTTTGCAAATATATTAATAAGGAACAGCCGACTAACTGTTCTTTTGCTCATAACCATCGACAAAACTCCCTAAGAGTAAAAATTTATTGATTTTTATTACAAAACAGAATAATTCACAAACGTCGATTTCTGAGAAATAATTGTGAGGCCGAGAACCATGCAGCAACTTTTCACTCCCAACTTATCCGATTCTTTTATTTCATTTCAATTTTTTAAGTTTATTTTGTTTCATAAATTTCAAATCTTTGGTAGCTGTGCAAATTGTCATTTTCACAGTTCTAATGGTTAGGGAAAAATACTTTTCAATAACACTGATAACAGCAGTGCTCTTTGAATCATTGGAAGCGTGAACAGATAATGTGAATAATCAAAAAATTTGTTTCATCGTTTGGATAATTAAGAAGCTATAAAAAGGAAAACCAACCGCTCAAAGTTTAAATAATAACTTCATGCAATGTCCACAATGTGCATTTTACAAATTTTAATTAATATTTCAACCCAAATTTATTGATGGAAATATGAAGATTAATGGAAATAGAAAATAGACATGTATATAAAAATGTCTGAAAGGAAAATCTACCAGTTATTTCATATTTGCGACAGGTCATAAGAGTCCTATTTCTTTTGTACTAACGATGATTAAAGGTGTGCTAATTATATATCCTTTCAGTTTTTTTCCAATGACTGTTTTTGGAGGTCTTTATAAAATGCATACCTCTCTGAGACTCATCGAAAAAATGACGAAAAATAACTTATAACAAAACTATTTTTACTTTCTCGCTACCCAACAATTACAGATAGATATAAGTTATTGGCAACGTCAATACCAAAAGAAGCCGATGAATGGTCCGATAAAGCGGAGGTGGAACTGGGAGTTCCCGGAAATGAGTATAAAGCCCGGTTACTTTCTGACTTGAAAACGATTCATCTCTCAGAAATCGAACATATGGGACCCATATAACATATGGGAGCTTGACAAACATCAAATGATTGCTTCTCATTTTTCCATTTCTAATTGACTGCTCCTTTTTTCTCTCCTTCTACCTTGATAACAAAACAATCCCTTTTTCCCAACTCACCTTCGGACTGCGTTGAGCGGAATCTGTTCCAGTGACATTTCAGTGAAGTGTATAAATCGTTGGATGCAAATAAATTGCTCAATGAATTTGGTACCTATGGACGTTATCAAATGATTTCCTACGTACTATGCCAATTAACCAATTTTTTTATGCTGTGTCAATATTTATTATGATTTTTGTGAATCGAAAACCGCCAGATTTTGCATGCAAGATTGATGATCCGGTTTGTTATTTCTGTCATGGATCAGCATTAACAAGAAAAAATCCATCATACCTTATGACATCAATTACATCATGATGCCAGAAAGTGTCACCAACTGCTGCAAGGTTCTGACAATTCATCTCAAGCAGGATATGCAACATAAATCATCTAATCTCGAGTAAATGTTGAAGATATTTTAAAAAGTTAGATTGATCTGAACTAAGTAAGTCAGTCCCGGCAATCGTCATTGGAAAATTCATTTCAGACACGAATCGAGATGATCAACTCAGTAGATCCCTGTATGATTAAAGATTTGAGTACAGGAAGCGTATTAAACTGCGCTTCAGTTAATAGCGGGACATCCATTGTCAGTAATTCAACAGATCAGTCGTACAGTATACTTTTCGAGGTTTTAAACTCAAATATTTATTAATCTGCTAATATTTCCAAAAACTGTTCCTCATAACTGTCTACCATATTACTTCTCATTCACTTGAAACAACCTATCATCAGTTAGATCGAATAATATATAAAAGAATAGTGATACAAGGGTTACTTGTTTGAATTTAAATTTTAAAAAAATTCCAAAGAGAGAAGAAATAAACAAACGGATATCAGAGCTCGATTTTGCAGTATGAATTATTATGTGTCAATCCATTTATACAAGAAGCCGGATTTTCAGTTTTTTCTGCTGGTAATTTTCCAAGTGTAACATACCTTTTTTTAAAAATGAAATTATTAGACAAACAAATTCGTTTTTGTTATTTACTTTCATCAATCAATTATTCAAGTGCTGGTTTAACAATGTGCCACTAATTTAATTACGGCATATTTTCAACAACTCTTCGCAGAAATTCAAAATTTTTTTGCAAGTTTTATATTTGAAGGTGCTCTTCTTGTGGTACCAATAACATCACATCTATCGGATCGATATGGTCGTCGACTTATTTTTTTAATCTCGATGTATTCAAGTGTCATATTCAGTCTTATCATAGCATTTTCACCTAATTATGCAATCTTTGTGTTATTAAGATTTCTTGTAGGAGCAGCAGCCGATGTAATTCATCCTTCATAAGATGAATTTTGGGAATGGTTATAGGAAAAAATCAAATAAATTATCACTTTACATGTAGATTTCAGGTCAGAACAGAGCCCAAAATATCTGTGTTTATTCAGGAATCTTTCTGTCTCCTCACCATTTTATTTAAACTTCGTTTAAGAATGCAGAAAATCCTTCTCAGCAAGAAACACCAGACTAAACGTAACCAGAAAATTTCACAAGCACAGTTTGCATTACCAAACCGATGCAGCCAAAAATTCCCTAAACAGAGTTACCACTCGTTTTTTTTATGGGAAATCTTCTGACAAGATTACAAACCAAATCTGGATCAGTCCAAAAACTAATGGTATCAGTTAGATACGGAAGCAATTTCTTTCAGACTTATTTGACAATTGGCTCAATTCTTTGTTGTGAAACAGTGGCCGGATCATTTCGTGAATGGATAAGTTTATTTGGGGTGACATCTTGGCTGCTCGGATATCTGTACGTCGGAGTTCTGGAAGTGTTTATTAAAGACTGGAGGAAACTATACTTTGTATCAACAATCCCCAGTTTATTAACTATTATATATTTTTGGTAGGAATTGTGATTATATCATCTAAATTAAACCTACGAGCTTGAACCCCAGTGAAGTCACCCAGTTTTTTTCGTTTCTATCCCTCTTAATTATTGAAATATTTTCTCGGAAGGTGATGAAATTTCAGGATTGTAAAAAAGACTTGAAAAAATCCTCTACCAGAGCAGTGTAAAAAATACTTGAAAAGATTCTCTACCAGAACAATTAACTTATAGTTGTAAACATGAAAATGCTTGTTTTTTTCAAAATAAATCAAAATTGATTAACTGCAGAATCCTGTTGTTGAGGAATTCAATCAAAAACAAAAAATAAAATACTAGTTTCAGGTTGCTTCCCGAATCACCACACTGGATGATCTCACGCAGACGGATACATGGCATCCAGAAATACATTAAAATGTCTTCATGGTACAAACATCGTAAATTCTATAACTTTCGTAAATCAAAAAAAAAAAATTTGGATTTTTGCTTTTCTCCAGCATATTTTTCGTACCAGTTTTTATTTCATCATAATTTAGGATGAAAAATTTTTGATTACAATAGCATGAACCATGATTCATAGTTACAAAAATTATGTGGAAAAGTCTCTGTTAACTTACTTGTAAAGGTGATATTTGAACGTAATGACTTTCTCTTACTAGTAAATTTCCATCTTCAGGTTCAATAATATTGAAATTGACTTGAACAAATGTCAGTCGGAAAGTATGCAAAAGAGACCTGTGGAGGAATGCAAAGAAAGAACTGTGTGTGATTTATTTAAATACAAACGAATAGTGTATTTTCTATTTGTCAACGGTTACATCACGTAAGCATTAGCTACTTTTGGGTAAAAAGATTCTTAAACTGTGGAAGAGTGATGAAATGATAGAAAGAATACAATAACGGGGATTGAAACTCGTTCCTTCCTGTTGCTTGAGTTCCAAGATGGCGGATTTCAGAGTTAGTTCTAATGATACACAAAACAGTGGGCCAAATTTAAGTTAAAGGAGAAACTGAAATTTGTTCGAAGTTTGAATCAAATGCCTTCTCATGCGATTCAATTAAAGCAATGAAATCGATTGTTTTTTTTTCAAACTTCATACTATCTGTGCATTTTTTTAGAATGACTATGAACTTCTACTATTTTGTTGTCTCATTTGATAGTGTCAACCTAACCAAGCATGCTTTCATGGGTTATATCCTATCCGGTTTATCGGAAATTCCGGGAGGTATCATTGTGATTCCATTGTTGCATTTCTTCGGTCGCCGTTCTGTTGCATGCGTGTCATTTTTCTTGCAAGCCACCGCCGCACTTGTTACACCGTTCATTCGAGGTACATTAGACGGTTGCATATTTCTAAATTACGTTTTATTTTTTATAGTTAAAAGATTGTTGGAACTGATTTTAATCCGACTACTTGAATTCAGTTCCGCTTGATTCAAATTTAGTAAATTCATTTCGATTATATGTAATCAAAGTGATTATTTTAATTAACTGGAAAATTAAAGTAATTTTGCTAGACAATGTGTGGCAATCCCACGATTTTTTTTTTCAGATCTTTGACACATTCATCAACAAACTCATTTACAGATTTATGAGCAAGAACATCATCACTTTAAACTTAGTTTGATCTTTGATTTTAAACTCTAGCTCTAATTAAACATTAATCAGGAAAGGAATTTTGTAACTTTTAGGAATTCAGTGGGCTCGAATATCATGCAACTTATTCGGAAGGATGACTAACGAAATAGTATATTCAACCCACCCTCTACTGGCAAATGAAATGATGCCAACAACTATTCGAACAATCAGTTATTCAATAATTAATATACCTCAAAGCATTGGAATCATGCTTTCACCATTACTCAAATATTCAGTAAGTTGCGAAAAATAACTTTTATTATTGAAATTAAGAAGTAAACGTCAAAAAGATATCACAAGTTTCGTAACAACGGCTAACAAGAAAGGAAGCGTAAATTTATAGCTTGCTGTTAAAGTTGCTTATTGAAAATGATTCCAAAATATCTCAGCAATTACCAACTTTTGTGGGGGATTTCAGTTTCGTCAGAAAAGCGTGTCCGCGTAAAGCGAAATATGTGATATCATTTTATTGCAGTCTAAGCAAATCGAAAAATTTCTCTTCCTCAGGATCTGGGTGACGGTAAAGTGCCACAGTTCATCCTAGCCGGTTTATCATTTGCTGCAGCAGCACTGGCCATTACTTTACCCGAGACCAAGGGTAAGCCAATGCCCGAAGATTTAAATCAACTGGATCCCGGACCATTTCTAAGATATTTCATTACAGAACAAAGTTCAACCAAAAAATGAAAAACGATTTTTTTTCCGTATTTTAATAGACAAGAGAAAAGTAACAATTATGGAATAAGTCTTGATGTTTCTGTTAGTGAGAAAAAGAAATTTTTGAATAAAGCATCCTTCCTTCAACAATCGTCTTAAGCATTTATTTTGGGGTCATTAGTTAAAAAATTGAATCCTATGTCAGCAATCATTGCATTATTGATATGACTAAATTCAGGTCACAGCGTCAGGGTAGTAAGACAACTGATAATAGCATGTATGGAACATTACTGTCCTGGTACTTGATCTTCGTCTCTTTATCATCACCACTGCAGGCGAAAGAGATGAGATGACAAAGAGATGAGATGACCGAGCTCTGGTCCTTATTAGGGCGCCATAAGGATAGACATTCTATCCGCCAAATGGATTGTTCCACATTTCGGAGTTCTTGAATCCTATGTTTGAAAAGTACCGGCAGTAGAAGTGTCATCTCGGGAAAATATCCTGAAAACAGATGAGCACTGAAAAGGAGTTCGGGTCACTGAATTTTGGAGTTCTAATTGTTTTTAAAATTTTTTCGTAATTTTGAAACATTTCAATGTTCGGAATTCTTTCATAAAAGAGCAGGTGTACTTATATGAATAATAGGTGTACATATATGCGCCATCCACCTGCTATCCCTTTTCCTCTGCATTGAGCCATTCACCTACTTAAAGGTCATACTGGAAATCATTACATTGATGATTAAGAAACAGTTAAATTTAGTACAGAAGAAGCCCTGAAGTGTGCGGAAGGTACGTAGAAATGTGAAGTGCTTGAAAACACATGAAATGCTCAATGAGATCTGAAACGAGAGCGGGGAAAATTTACGTAACCTTATAAAACAAAACAAAAGGAAGCAAACAAATTGGTGGGACGCGATATTTAACTCAACATTCAAATGTTCCATTTTCAAATTGGCGCAAATCCTCTCGGTTTCGAAGCTTCCATCTGGGAAAGCTTCCACCCAACCATCCAACCCTGCCGTGTCTCGGGGAAATGCATCGGGATATTTGGAGTAGTGGGTATAGGTTATCGCGATCTCGCCCTTCTCAAGCAAAGCTTTTCGAGAGTCTTGAGGTCCTACGTGGTAGCATGCATATGTTCAATTATCATCTGGCATATCTCATTAATATCGCGCGCATTTCTATCACAACTGTTGTTTTAAAGGTTCTTTGAATGTTTGCTAGCTATATTGCTTAGATACGTACGTGATTCAGCACGTAACGAGTGAACTGTAGTAAACTTTTTATAACAAACTAGTGTAAATTGTTGGGAAAGTAATTGTAAATTAATGGAGTAAACGACATTGGAAAAGTATTTCTACTTGTCCTGAATTAGACTGTACAATTTAGACTTGTTACTTAACATCTGTCCACTTATTTCCCAATTTTCAATTTTCCAATTCGTCGCTCTATCTTGATGGTTGGGATGTTAGTAATATAAAGAGATGTCAATATATGTAGACCATAGTATATGGTTGAGATGTTAGTAGTGTATATGTAGACCATCCGGTAATTTATGTGATTGCTATAGTTGAAGTCTTCTTCACAGACATCTCCTTGTCGCCTGGGAGAAGCCTGCATGCCCTAATGAGGTTGCCAGCATGCTGGCGATAGCTTATGTCTTTTAATGTTCTCCACGGACACCTCCTTGTCAGACAAGTCTCAACTGAAGGGTCAGAAAAGGTGTGTCCATGGGCAGGATGGGCTCGCTACCTTTCATGCAACCATCTTAGGGGAAACTCCAAACCCGGCGGATGAAGCTCGTTTAGCCCTGTAAGGTCATCCATCTATGAGGTTATTCGAACAAAACTTCCGTCCTGAGGAATTCTTTTTCACTGTTCTAATTTGCTAAGAGATGGCAGATAAATCTTATGAATAAAGAGTTGAGACAGTCTCATGCACGGTATGCCTCACCTAAAAAATTTCACGTATAGACTGGAAATATATATATATATATATATATATATATATATATATG